TAATGCGAATTAAATTTAGTTTACGATGCACTGCAAGACAGAAATGCATGATACACATACCAATATTTGTAAGTATATTTGTAAATATTTGCATGTAAGTATAGTATTTGTAAATACTTGCAGTAGTGCGTTGGGAGTTGTTGCAGTTGCTCGATGCCCAGCGGGTAAAGCGCAAGTGGGACGGTCTTTCAGCAACGTTCATGGTTCTTGTTGCAAAGGGTGTGTTGATGCGCTTCCTGTCAATGCTGCTGCACTGTCCCTGCATCAACATGTTGCGAGCAACAATGGCCGCGACTTTGATGTCCTCGGCGATTAATGGGGTGTCGGAATTCATGGCCCAGTGGCATCAATGGCATCAGTGGCATTAATGCCGATGGGAGTGTTGATGCACGAGGCTTCCAGCGACACTGCAGACTGTTTCGGATACAGACCAAGAGCATGGAGACCTGGCAGAGACGTGAGGGAGGCATGACAGAGACGGAGACGGTGATGGAGGTGGGTCACGATTGGGCGTTTAGGACTTAGGATTTCGGAATTAGGAATCAGGATTAAGGTTTCGGATTTCCTGGTGCGGTGACGGTGACGGAGACGGAGACGGGTCAGGATTGGGAGGTGGGGCGTGGGGGTTGTTCACTGCTGCTAGGGTGTGCATGTACTGGGTCTCCATCTTCGTCTCGTCTCCATCACGTCTCCGTGCGGACGGTCCTCCGGCATTCACAAACTTGCTCCAGCCGGACCCGGCAACGTTGCCGCAAGTCCGCCCCGCTTTCCAACGCATGCGCGAGGCGGCGACTCCTCCCTTCGCCGCACATTCCCACCCTGCCCAGGTGACAGCAACTCCCCGGGACCTCGGGCCCACCCGTACCCAAGGTTTCACCGAAATCCCGTGCCACTTCGCCGTGCCCCCGCGCCCGCCTGAGGCATGACGGGAGCGCCAACGGCCGCCCATCTCCGCGCTCTCCCCCCCCGGCCAGGCCCTTGCCTTCCCAGCCCCTTGCAGTCTCCTCCAGTCCCTTGCCGTGCATCCCCACAAGGCCGACCGGTGATCGCACCCCTCCCTGGCCACCCGCGATCGCCCCAACCCACCGCCGGGGCGCCACCCAGGCTTCGAGTCTTCAGTCCCCTCTGGAAGAACACACAAGAAGAAAGGACAGAGGGGAACGGAAAGCATCGATGATTCACTACTCGAAGCAGTGGTGGGGGCTGGTGCAGCTGCTCCGGTTCTACGGGTCGGCCCTCCCTCGCGCCATGCCCTTTGCCCTGGCCTCCGCCGGCCTGACACTGCTGTACGAGATGTGCCTGGGGGAGGGCAGGCGGAAGGGGTGGTTCGGCGGGGATGGCGGGCCCCTGGGGCGGACCCCCGTGCCGTACCCCTTTCAGATATTCGCCTTCATGGTGGGCTTCATCCTCGTGTTCAGGTGGGCGCCTAGGGCAGGTGTGTGGGCACATGTTTCCACCCGTGCCTTAAAATCCCCGAAACACAGGCCGTACAATGGAGGACTCCCACCTGAGGGCAAGCAAACGGCGGGTCCCGCTCTGCTTTGCGCGCTGTTTGTGTGGGGGTGGAGGTGGGTGGGGGTGGGGGGCAAGGGGGAGATGACACGCTTGTGGCACTTCGAGAGAAAAATGGGTCGTGCAAAGGGCGCCCCTTCCAAAGGCAGCGCACGCGAGGTTCGCTTTTACTCTGCGGAAGGGCGTTTTGTTTTGTCATCGTGTTCGAGTTCATTACCACACAACACGGGAAAGGACGGGGGGCCGCAGGCGGGGTTGAGTGGCTGGGTTGGTATGGGGTTGGGTTGGGGTGGGGTTAGGGGGTTAATCGGTTGGTCCGAGAGGGCTGCGCACAAAGTCGCAGGCGAAGGAGACGGAATTGTGATGATCGAAGTCGAGGGCAGTGCGCGGCCGGTCGTCAGCGGAGAAATCACCACGGCAGGCCGACGCAAAGTCTTTGATGCGTGGCTGCGTCGCCGTTGCGCACGGCACTCCCGTTCCGCCCATTCGGAGATTCCCGCTCGGCTGTGGGGTTGCGAAAAGGGTATTACAAAGTAGCGAGACTCCTTTTCCACCAGTATGTCCGGCGCTGTAGCAGGATGCCCCGAGACATGGAATGCAAACACAAGGTTACGCGCTTCGAATAGCAGAGAACGCCCAGTGAAACAGTAGGAGCCCAAGCACTAACCCCAACTCCCAGAGGAACGGTTTGCAAAAAGGGGCACGAGGTTTTGTGCCCCAGGCGGCTCAAACGCCGCCGCGCGACCCGCGCTCGCCTGCCGTCGATCGTTGGACTATGAGAGTCGTCATGATCGGCGGTTGGGGAGGCAGGGAACAGATGAAGCCCTTTGGGGGAGAGGCCCGAAGGGAGGGTGTGGAGGCGACCTGGGAGGGACCGCATGTGCGGCGTGGGTCGCCTGTGCAGCCTGGGACCTGCCCTGGATTGCGCAAAGTGTGTCGAGATTACCTTGCATGTATATGTAAGCATTGTGCTTGGCTTCAAAGTATACACATACAGTTCATCAAGTGATATGCACAACATACGTGTGCACATGTTTCCAGGATACTTGTACACATTGGAGATGGTCAGCATGCAGTGCCATTTGGTTTTGCGGGTGGTGGCATCTGGACCCTGTAGTGGAACAAGTGCTTCAGTCTGTTTTACTGAACTTGCCATATCTCTAGGACTAATTGCAATGGCATCAAGTCTGTGTGAAAATCTCCTTCAGTAGGTTGGACTTTACTGGACGAAACAGCCTTTCAATGCTATGTTGGTGTGTCCATTCATAGGCAGTGTTTGGCCCCGAGTGGCTCAAACCTCATGCCCTGTGAGTTTGGCAGATGTCAATTATTGTGTTAGAAGCGGTAGTTTGCTGCCAGGCTAGTATGCTGGCGTTTCTCTTGGCAAGAAACCTGCCATTGCGTGTTCGAAAGCCTCCTTTGCTTGCGCCACAAGCACAACACTCTGCCGATGGCACATGCCTCACCAAACAGAACTAAGTCAGGCAGTGGCGTTGCTGGCAGCGATCTGCACACAAATGCTGGCGAGTTTCATTTTCTATATCATCGTCACGTTGCTGTTGGCGAACATGCAATTCTGAGGCGTGGTTTTGCGATCTGCAGGAGCACCTTTGCCTACCGGCGCTTCTGGGAAGGCAGGACCAGCCTGGCGGTCATGGAGGCTATGTTCCTTGAGACGGTCACCCTGGTACGATACATCGTCATGCCCAGGTGACATGGCTGGCAGAAGATGAACGTCTAAATTCATTATGTTTAAAGTTGTCTGGGAAAGATCAAGCAGGCCACTTAAAGTACGAGTGTGCGAGTGTGCCTTTGACTCCATTATTCTGCTTTGTGCACTGATGAGAGAAATATGTGCATTGTGGCTTGACATTGTGTTGTCCTACATGTGTGGCTGGACCTGTTGCTTCACATCGCCTGTTGTCTTAACCATATTCCACTGCCTGGGCAGATGAACTCTGCCATTAATGATTTCCATTTCTGGTGAATGACCTTGGTCACAAGTGCTTAGTGCCTTCTGCCAAGCTAAATTCCCTTGTTGCTGCAAAGGGGTCAAATGCACTATACAAGGGTGACTAAGACAAAGAAAGGGCAGGGGAACTGGGACCCAGGGGGGACCGACTTCTGGTGGTTGCATACATTCCACATTGTGTGAAATTGATGGCAGCTGTGGACAAATATTAGCACTTGCACAAGGGGCTTGGCTTTCTGGGAACATAAGCAGGGCACATTTTGAAAAACAATATAAGCAGCCTCATATTCAGGGTTTGAGAAAGAACCATGTGGACAATCAATGAGCACAGCTTCTCCGCTTACCGATTCCCTAATACTGAAGTAGCTCAAAGGCAGTGAGTGAAATGTGATGTTCAGATCAGCATTTACGTCATAATTGTTGATCAGCACGCTTTTGTGTCCAGGTAATGAATTTTGATTGTGGGACGCTGCCTGCTGACATCAGCGAGGACGCTGCACTGGCACACGCCAGATTCAGTGACGCCTTCCTCCACTACATAAGCCTCCTGCATGCAGTCGCACTGCAAAGCCTGCGACAGGACTATGACATGTCAAACCTGCGCGCCCACGTGGACATGATGGATCCTCCTCCTTTCGTACGTACCTTGACAGAGTACAATGCCTTTAATTAGCTCGGCACGTGTTCCAACCTATTCTTCACATATCTGTTCATTAGATGCTGTACATGTGCATTCCTGCTGCATGAAGTGTAAGCTTTTGCCCAAGGCTGCCAAAAATTGGAAAAGGAAAACGTTCTACATGCAGATTTTGGGCAACGCAGGCACAGATGTTAACGATGATCTTGCATGACTAATGAGCACGAAATATCCAATCTGGCTGCAAAACAAACAAAGCAAACAAATATCGTAGATCCTAATGGCAGTGAGGGGCACATCATAACCGGACGGTTGCGTTTGCTGGTATTTGCACCCATGGCTGTCTGTGAGTCAAAATCCGCGTTTCAAGCTCGTTTCGTCGAATCCTATTGTTTCTTTGCACTTTCGCGCTTGTCATCAGTAGGCCTTACAGGGTTGCGTGAAAGGTAAGGCAAAACACAAGCCAGATCCAGTGCGCTCTATGGAAGGTGGGGATTTCAGCATCGGATGCTGGAATGGATTCCAAAGGAGCCTTGAGTTCCCCCCCTCTCTCTGTGTCCATTTAACTTCCAGTGTTTTTGCAACTTTTGGCGCGCCCATCGTGTTGACAGAGGTAAAGGTAGAGGCAAGCAGGCTTTGGATCTCACATTCTTCCACCCCAACGATATGATTCCTGGCGGGAATTTTGCCCATTTCTCGTGCTTGTGACGTTCAACAGTGTCCAGCTGTCGAAAGCCGCGCAACAGCCGTGTAAATGCAGAAGTCAATGTCTTTGTTTGAAATGCTTTCAAACAATTTGAGTTACAAACATTGATAGTGTTTTGGCGCCGTTGCCACTGGTGAATAAGAATCTTGTGTATTGGGCAGGATGCCGCTGACTTGTGGAAAGCGCACGTGCAGAAGCGGAAGTCCGAGGACAGTGGGGAGCCAATGCGTTTCAAAGCACGTTTCCGTTTCTGGGACCTCATCTTCCTGAGGTCCAGCCAGCTGGTGCGGCTGGCATACAATGAGGTGAGGAAGTGGCAAAACCACATTAGCATTGGCATGCCCCTTCATACGTTGCCAATTCTGACAAAAAAAGCAGCGAGTTGCTGCAATTGCGTACGAAGCTGGTGCACAGCGCTGGTTCACAGTACTGAAGCAATCATTATCGCGATTGCTTAGTGAATGTAGGCGAGCCGCGTAGATCGATTTGAGATCCGCTGGCAAGAAATTGTTCATTGCACACAACTGAGTTCCCTGTTTGGTTGCTGTGTGCCAAATCGCCGAAGCCGCGTTCGCTATGACTGGCCAGTAATGCACCCATAGATTGAAAGTGGGTCCATATTTTGCCGGTGCGTGCGTACGGGTTGTGGATATCACAACGCAAATAACACTATCTTTTATTCAAAATTCTTGTCGCTTATCCCCATCGCACAAGCGGAGGCCAAAGCGGAGGATCAAAGAATTTGACCAAACTACTTCAACGGGCCATATCGTGGCTGTCCGTAGAGCCTTCAGCGTGGAAAACGGCGGTGCCGTTCTTGAGATATCTTAAGAGGATCACAGAGGCCACATTTCATTTTGTCGGGACTTTGAGACGAGTATGGCGAGATCGTCCTGCCCTTCAAACGAAGTGGGTCGAGTTAGGCTATCGCCAGGGGAGAGGTATGGCTTGGTGGTTTGGTATACACTGAAGATTTGGCTAATTCAGTGCAGAATCCACAAAAGAGCATATGCGGGCTTGATGCAGGTTTTTGGTTGTCAACGAGCATTGTGCGTATATTGCGGCCAAAGGCCAAGAGACAACTAGATTAGTGCAGGAGCATTGGAAACTGGAAATTGGAAAATGGAAACTTCCAAAGACATGAGTCAGCATAGCGAAAGAGATGGTCCGCAGAAAATGTGGTTGCAGTGATATAAAAATTCTTGAAAGGCAGTGGTGGTGCCTATTTACATTCAGCAACAAGGCTCTTGAATCATTGGGGGAAGTAGCTTAGCACACATGGGGATAAGATTACAAGGAATTGAGGCCCTGGCGAGGATGGACAGGGACGTTCTTGATAATCGAATGAATTTCTTGTTGTGCAGCGATGACTAGCATAATCAAGATCCACATTACCCCAAAATCGAACAAGGAACTCGAATCTAGTGACAAATTTACTGATTGAGTTGATATTGCAAAGTTATGGTAAAATTGTATAAGCGACAGGACTTGTGAATTGCTGGTAGTATAAAGAAAATCACTGCCATTTTGGAAGTAAACCATGACATAATTCGAATCTGTTGCTTTTTGTGGACAAATTTAATGTATGGTGTTTAGCATGGTATTGTATGTGTACCATTGTTATCTTTTTTCGGTGTTGTTTCTTTTGGTGTTTTTGGCTTGAATAGATTGCTGCCGTGTGCTGTTGTCAGCTGATGCCTCTCACCGTCATCGGTGGCGTTGGTGAAGACGAGAAGGTCCTGCTGGGCCACCTGCCGTTCGAGCATGGGGCGGGGGTGTCCAAAGGCTTCAAGATCAGTTCTGGTGAGCCCATCGAGAGCGTGGGTGGCTGGACTCATTTGAAGAATTACTTTGAAGCTGTGGCATTCCTGGAATTTGCGGCATTATTGGGTGTTGTAGAACTTCCGGAAATCATTTGTATTTCTGGTATCTACATCGGAGGAAGTATTTGGAACAGCGAACTCATTTGCTTCTTCCTTTTGCAGCCTTTTGCAGCTGTTTCACAGCTTGTTTGTGCTTATGCGTTTTCTGCGCGCACAAAGATGCTGCTCTTGCGGATTCAAGGCTGCGATGGAAATCTGCGACTGTATACTTTGGACGTGCCGTCGCTTTCGTTAGTTGATGGTCGCTTCCTCAATCACCGAGACGGAATCAGTACACAAATTGCATCAATACGCATGTTTTAGAGATTGAGAACGACTGCGCAGGGGAAAATACAACGAAAACACAAAAGCTACACAAGCGCACGTTTCCGCCGGGCCGGGCTCCTTGTCCCACCCAGGTCCACACACACACTGGACCAATACATTACACGACACTGTTTGTCCCAATACGACCCGAGGTACCCACAACTTTGTGTGCCCAATCGCTTCGCTAGTAGTTAAGCCAGTCCCATACCAGACTCAACCCTTGAGTCAGACCCACCACACCTCATTCCATCGTGCTTAACTCCCACACTTGCCTCAAAATCCACCGAACATCACCCTAATAGGGGGGGCCGGGCGGGAAGCGAAACAAGATAAGGTGGGGACCGAGGGGTGAGCCTAAGTAGCCTCCCCGCTCGCGCCCGCCAAAGCCCGCCGCTCCCAAGGGCGCCAAAAACCACTGGCCCTCCTTGAACGCGACAAACCAGCCACTGACCCAAGGTACAAGGGGACAGAAACCCCAAGGGGCCGCCAAAACCATCGTACTTTAAGCGGCGCTGGCCCAAGTGGGCCAGCGCGCCCGCCCCTCGTCGCCCTGGGCGGAAACCCCCTTAACAAGATAGTTAATCCCATTTCCAGCCACTGATGGTGATCTGCACAGAGCTGTATATCTACAAGGAAAATATTTACATATGCACGAAAATATCTGTACAACTATGGAACGTATCTGTACATACCACATGTAGTACATGGGATATATGTCTACTTGGGATAGTGTTCAGTAAATCTCCGTGGTCCATGCTGAGCGCGATGGAAGGCACATTCGCCGACGCAGTTGTGGTGTGCAGGCGAGTACGTACCGGGCCCCGGGGAGCGCGTGGCAGTCGTCCTGGCGTGGGTCAACCAGATACTGCTGGATCGCCGGCGCGAGGGCGGCATCAACGTCCCCGGGCCCCTCATGACCCGCGTGTATGGGGTGCTGTCCAGCGGCATGCTGGGATATGAGCAGGCCAGGTGGGGGCTTTGCCGGGATTGGCAAACATACACCTGGTGTGCATAATGCATGCGCTGTATTGTGTGTACTGGCACAGCAGAAGACGCCACTTTGGCGTTTCCAATTGGGATGCCTTTTAACACTAAATGATTCCATCGCAGTTACTGTGATGCCGTTGCGGTAGCATTGGTGCCGCCACTTGCTGTCGAAATGACATCGCGGTGGCGTCGCCGAAATGTTGTTTCCCAACAGTGATTGAGCCTTCGTGGGCAAAATGTGCGAAGGCGTGTAGCTCTTGTGAGTCCCGGTCTGTGCGTGGTAATCAGGACTTGGTACGATTGCTGCTCAGTGTTTGGTGCCCCGGCCCTGCACCCACTCTACCTGAACGAGTGTGTGGTGTGTTGCCAATATGCGTCTACATATGCATGTGAATGAATGAGTAGATGAGCGAAAAAATAAGTAAATGCAGTGATTAGTAAAAACTTCCGCTGTCCCATGTTAATCGTTCACTATCTAAAGATAAACTTCGTTACAAAAACGGCTTTTGCCTGCAAAGAGTATCTTTATCGGAACAATTGGGTCCTAAACCCCCTAAATACCAATTTTAAAGAAAAAGAGGTTAGCTCCGATCTCTTTGAGCGTTGGATGAAACATAAACTTGTCCGTTTTTGAACGAAAAATCCAATATTAAGAAAGTGAAGGACTCCTGCGAAGCGCTGCTGCACCGCAATACTTAGCAGGTTCACTTGATTTTTTGACTGTGTACTCCAGACTCATGAACACAACTTTAAACTTAGCTTCGCTAAAAATCGAAGTCCCTGTGATGGAGTAGTAAGCCCCCAGAATCATAGGTCAGTTGACATGGGACAGAGAAAATATGTAGCAAGTACTAGGGATCTGATGGCTACCTCCTCGCCTCGAGACGTAAGGATACTTGACGATGAATAATGGTAAAGCAAAACTGATTGAATGAATAAGTGAATGAAGGGATGAACACGTAACGAGGGAGATGGGCGTCGGGTCCGCAGGAAGCTGCAGGACACGCCCTTCCCCTTCCCCCTGGCCCAGTTCAGCACCACCGTCCTGCTGACCTTCGGCCTGGCCCTCCCGCTGGTCTCCGCGGCCGCCATCGCCCAACCCGCGCTCGCCGCCGCTACCTCCTTCGCCTCCGTCCTCACGCACTACGCCCTCAACGAGCTGGCACGGGACCTCGAGGATCCCTTCATCTACGACCCCAACGACCTGCCCCTGGCGGCCTTCCAGTGGAAGTTCAACCAGAAGCTGCTGGCGCTGAGTCAGACCAGGCGGCCGCTGGCCCCGACGGAGAGGCGCCTGGTGCGGCTGAGGAGCCTGCGGAGGGAGAGCGCGGCGGGGGGGGTGGCGTCGGGGCGGTCGAGCGACCGGTCGGCGCTGTCGCCGGGGGAGGCAGGAGGGAGGCGAATCGGCGGTGCGTGTCCGCTATTGCGGACGAGTTGCGACTTGCAAGAAAAGGGCGCAAGTTGCGACTTCGCTTTTCTTCATATTTTTATGCATGATTGATTAAACTGCGAATAGTGCATGAGAATATGCAGGAATTTTTTGATGCTGTTGCGAGAATTCTTATATCCCTATTTTTTTTTAAATTGTATTAAGAAATTTTGTTAAGAATTCTATTTTCAAAAATTATATTGAGAATTTCTAACAATTAAGAATTTCTAAAATTCGCGTTCGCATTGTACATTTAGTACTTACATTGAAGTACAATATTATTATGTACATTGTACGTTATTTGATGGCGACGCCCCCGCGTGTACCAGGCACGTCCTACATTTTGGACGACGTGCTGAGCCTCCCCACCGACGACGAGACCCCTTCACCGCCCTCTACCGTCTCCTCCACCCGCCACCGATCCTCGTCCCTCGGATCCGTCGAATTGACCACCTGGCGGCCTGGCTTCGGTCGGCCGCTCTCTGCGGTGCCCGAGGCGGAGACTGAATCCGGGGAGGAGACGGGGCGCCCAGACGCGTTCCGTCCGGTGTCCCCCATCACCATCCAAATCCAGGAAATAAGACGAGAAGTGGAGCCGAGGGGGTCGACGACGAGCTTCGGTTCGTCGGACATCGACGGCAGCCGGCCGTCCGACGGCGCGAATTCGCCTACGAGCGCCGCCTCGTCGCCCGACGAGACTTCTCCGACGGAAGATGCGACGAGGATACGAAGAGCACGCGAAGAATATACCGGACGATTCGCCCAGGATGCGGCCAGTCCACGAAGAATGCATGGAGAATATGTAGTCGTCGGGTCGCCCGCCAACGATTTTTCCTCAAAGGACGGCGCCACTCCCGGCAGCGCCCGGTCGTCGACGAACTTCGGCTCGTCGATCAGCGGCTCTTCTTGGGACGACTGTTCGTCGGTGGTCAGTGGCCTTCCGTCGACCGTCGCCTCGTCGCCCACCTCGGGGTCGACGGCCGAGGGGCCGCCTCGGCTCGTCCGTTCGTGGCCACGGCACTCCCGTGGGGAGAGCTCTTGACCGCGGGCGCGTGGCCACAAGACTTGTGGCGAATAGGAGAGCCGAAATTTGCCGTTTTGAGCAGCATGGGGGTCGTTGGCGTTTGCGAGTGTCCTCTGCTGGGCAAGAAATTTTGCGACAGTCGTTTCCGCGCTATGGCTGTCTGTAGATATCTGTAGAAGAATAGATAAAGCTGTCTTTGGGTAGAAGATAATGAGGAAACTTCGCAGTGCCACTTAGGCAGCGTGTGGGATTTGGCAGGAGTTGTGTGCGTAGTGGCCTGACGGGTGGCGCGGGTGCAGTGATTGGTAAGTAGAAATAGGAATGGTAGGAATGGGCTGCTGGGGTATCACGCAGCAGAGCTGCTTTTTGCGACATAGGTTGTGTAGATTCTAGCGAGCTCCGCAGTAACAGGCGACAGACAGGGCTGCCTCAGACCAGCGGGCGTGCTTCGTTCTTCGAGAGGGGGGCTCGCGCAGCCTCTGCGGAAATAAAACACCTGGGCCACGGTAGAAAATAAGCAGCGAATGGCGACAGGCTTTTGTGCTTGCGCTTATTGCATATGTCGGAGGAAACCCATTCGCAAATTTTTGGCGATGCCGGTCGCGTGCTCTGCTGTACTCGCAATGTCGACTTTGCATGATGCGAGCATAGCAATTCTCACGCTTGCCCGTCTCTTTGGCAAATAGCACGGATGCGAATCGATTCAAGGAATTCGAAAAGGGACCTTCCCGCTGGGACAGACAGCGCCGCCATATGGGCGTCCACAAGTGCCCACGGCCGCCTGTGGGTGGCGAACAGCTTTCCTGCAGAGTGGCACAACCAGGTACCACGGAGCACTGAGCCATGCACCAACTTGCCCAAAGGAGCGTTGCTTTTCCACCGTCGACAAAGGCAATATAATGACATACACAACGCACACACATCCGAAGCGTATCAAGATCGTTTCCAGTGCTTGTCGATGGCCACCTGCGCTGCCACTGCGGCCACCGCGGCGCCCATCGTCAGCACCAACCCCGCTACCAGCACCTGCACTTCTGTTGACCTCTCTTCCCTGGGAGACGGGAGCCAAACCAGAAAACCAGTCAGGGAACACGAGTGGTGGAACCGAAACGCGACATTTACGTCATTCCGCGTCGTTTTGTCTGGCGCGCACTGCGCACTACTTGCACCGTATTTTTTCAACTTTTCTGCATGGTAACGCAACGCTTGACCTTTTGTTTCAGGGCAAAATTGCGGGGCAACGGAAAAAAATAACGCTCTGAAAACAAAGTGCGCAGCGAAGAATTCCTAAAATGCATAGCGGTAAACATTCTTCATGCGCAAGGGTTGAATATTATACCGCGCTGTATTTACCATGGAACAACCGATGAGACCTATCACGTGCTATAGCACAACTTGGCGCCATTCCAACACTGTTTACACGTCCAACGCATGATCATCCGCATTTTCGATCAATCTATTTCCAATCAGCACAGGACAAGCCGCGAAGAATTTGCAAGGTGCAAAAAATGCATGCATGCAGAACGTGCCAAAATTTGTTGGAGTTGAAGGAAGACAGAATCTGTGGCAAAATGTGCAGCTTGTGCCCGTGTTTGTTGTGGTGCATTTCCATTGCATGTCATTATATGTTGATTGGCAGACTCGCCCATCGTGTCCTGCTGCCCGACCGCCATGAATGCGGACAGCACCCTAAATCGCCCAACGGATGAACTGATGGGACTTTCCCATGTTTGATATTTGATGCTATTACATGACGTTTAACCCAGTATTTCACTGGGTTTATTATATGATATTAGTGATTCGTTTTTCACCGAGTACAATAAAAGCGAAATCTCATGCTGAACACCGACTTACTTGAGGAACATCTCCAACCGCGGATTCTCTGGGGGCCAATCCGATTCCGTCCACATCGGGTCGGCCGCCAAATTCCTGGTCACCATCCACGCCTCCAAGGCCTCTTTCTCCGCCCCAGACGTCAGCACCCATCTGCTTAACACATCAAATAAATAAATAAATAAATGGATAAATAAAGGGATAAATAAATGAATAAATATAAATAAATAAATAAATAAATAAACAAGTAAAGTCTGTTTGTCGATTGGTTGGTCGACCAGTCAGTCAGTCAGTTGGACAGCCAGTTAGCCAGCCAATGGGGAGTTCGCAGCTTCCTTTTGCCACTAAAAGCAGCCTTACAAAACAGCTCACTAGGCGTTTGTGAAATATTGTTTGGCTAGCACTGACAGGTTCTGATGCGCAAAGGGTATGCGTTTAGCTGCACACACGTGGTTTGGGGACAGACATTCAAGGAAAAGCTGGTCGTATTTGAAAGGCTCGCTGTCGGCATATAATGGCCTCAGAAAGAGGTCCGAGTGCGCCGCTGTCATGATTGTCGAACGGCTGTTTGCACCTCCAGGGCAGGGCGCCCCTATCCAGTATATGGCCACATCCTGGATATGCATATCCAGGGCATGCATCTTCTCTCCAACGATTGACCGCTTGGCCTATTTGTCGATTTGCTTATTCGTTGGTTGTCTGGCTGATTGAATCACCATCATCAACATCATCACTTATTTGTATTCTCTCTCGTCATTCATATTTATTTCCTTCATTTTTTGGCTTGATTGAGTCACTCAACGATAGGTTGGTGGGTCGATGAGACAGATGCAAACGGCCTGGCCTCGCCTCTGCAGCGCCGCCCGACACATGGGCGACGCCGGCCGTGGCCAGGACACATTCTGATGGTCATGCATTGCCGGCATCGCATGGATGATGACCTGCACATCTTCGCCGCAACACATCTAACACCACATGCAGGAAGTCTTCTTTCCGCATCACCGCCAGCATCCAAACCCCACCTGTTCGTCTTCTTGTCCTCTGCCGCGTACTCCGCCGCCGAGCAGTTCGGGCACGACAGCAGCAGCGAGTACGACGGCACGAAGAACACCTCCGACCTCACGCACCTGCCCAGGCCCGCCTCCCCCTTGACCCCGAACCTGTAGCCCGCGCACACCAGCCCCTCCCCTGCCGCGCACCTCCTCCCCTTGTTGTTGCAGGGGGCCCCGGGGCCCCCCAGGGCTGTGCGCAGCGCGAGGTAGTTGTACACGAACCGCTCCAGGTTGCTCTTGGCGGACGGGTCCTGCTCCTGCGGGTCGACGCTCAGGGTGGGGAGGGTGCCCAGGTAGTGCTCGGCTTGACCTGCGGAGGCATTGATGAAACACTAGGTACGAATGTGCTAATAGATGGGACGTAATGTGTGAACAGAGTGGACACAGCCGCTGCACATCCTTGTCCTTGCTTCGCCCGCTGCGCACGGCTTCACAGTGTGTCAGAGGCGCATAGTCTGTGAGGCGAACACGGAGACAAGCGAGTGAGACGAACGCTGGGACAGACAAGCGGACATGCTGTCCTTGCGCGCTTGGGTGGCGACAAAGCCCTCAATGACTGACACGCAATTGATGGAAAAAATCGTCATCACCATCATCGTCGTCGTCATCATCATCATTACCTGTGGAGGTGGCGTCCTGGGCGCGCAGGGACAGGAGGCCGGCGGCCAGGGGGCAGCGGAGGCTGGGGTCGGGCTTGGCAAGGCAGTCCACCAGCGCATTGGTCGCGTTCGTCGCCTCCGCGTCGTCGACCTGGGGACAGGGGACAAACTGATCCATCGGTGGCGCAACAGAGAGACGGCGCGGGCTGGCGAATTGTCCGGCCTGCCTTTGCGTGTCAATGGCAGCAAGCGGACACTTACATGGCTGGAGTCCGTGTCTGAGGCGTGGAAATTTGCTCCACATCGTGCACTGCTGGTGTGATATCCATTCGGAGCTCAGCAATTCGAGCAACTAAACGGTGTTTTTGTTGCCGTTCTTCTGTTCTTCTTTGCTTTCCTCAATTATTGAGGAGGTGTGAACTATAGCCCGCACAGTATGCATAGCATGCAGATAATAATAATATGTTGCATAATATATTAATTATATAATAATATTAAATACAATACATACAATATAGTATATATTATAGTATAATAATATACTGCATAGTGCATATAGTAGTGCGTACAAGGCAGCGCAATGCAACGTCCGCAAGCCACAGCCCCCCCACCTCCAGCGGCCGCGGTGGACTGCCCCCATAAGCGAGACGGTAGAGCGTCCGTGCCATGAGCACCGATGCGGCTGCTATCGCTGCCGGATCGATGTTACTGTCGTTGTCCAAGTGGCTCTCGAAGAAGCGGTTCGTGTACTTGGTGTTGAACTCGGCCACGAAGACCCCATCGATGGCCGGCACCTCCAGGAGGAAGGACTTGAGGGAGGAGGGGGGCAGGCCGGGGGTACCCGTCGCGTTCTCCACGATGATCTATGGCGAAGTTCCGTCAAGCGACGCACCGCAAAATGAGATCACAAAGGCAGATGATGCAAACCTGTACCAATTTAAGCACTTGCAATACAACATTGGGATACACCAAATTCACCATCCAAGCAACAGAATCATCAAAAGCAAAACATCGATGTGTATACAATCATGCTTGCGTGTTCAAACGCAGCACTGTACACTGGCAAATAATTGCCCGCTTTCACACGATATAGTTTGGCCTTAAATAGCATCAATTCGCGAACATCGTGCGCCAGCAACCCAACCCACACTCAGAACAGATGAAAACACGTCATGTTAGGTGCGCTCTTGCTGCCATTTTCCACCAGTGGCACCAAACAAATCTGGACAGCACTTACGCACTTCCCTCCTGCGCCACGCGCACCTTGTGTTGGCCAATCATCTCCGCCGCTGATGCCACAAACGCAGCGTTGATGGGCGAGCTGCTGGGGCTCGAGGCATTCGACCGGTGCAGGAATATCCTGGGGGTGCCGCCCACATTGCCCGGGGCGCCCAGCGAGCCCAGTTCAACAACCTGCAGAGGCGGGGGGACCAACTGACACATATAACACAACAATGGCCATATTCCGCAGTTGTGCTGCGACCATAAGATTTGCTAATTCGCTGAAAATCGCATATCAGTTGTTTTACTTAACTCTGATAAGAGCGGATCAAGTCTTTGCAGTCACAACATGAGCAGGGGGATAAGTAACGCTTTGCTTGCCAACATGGCCATTGCAACCGTTTCCACCGCAAGCATATATCGTGCATATTTGCTAAAAATCGCCCATCAAAGTATAACCCGACTTGGAGTGGGTCAAATCGTGCATGCACCACAGCGTCGCTGGGGCCAATGTTGTGTTTCAATAAATTCCAAGTGCACAAACTGCCACAACGCAAAATAAAAGCACTACTTCAAGCATTCAATATGTGTTTTGGGGTCATACTTGTGCACCTGTTGCCCGTAAGCTGCATGGCCACCTGTTCGGCAACAGCATTGAAACAGGCCTTGCCCCACCTGCGAGATCTTCTTCAAGTCGACGGGCACGCTGTTGTTGGCAAAACTCGACCCGTTGCCGAGCTCCCAGAGCATGCGCCGCGAGCCCATGTAGTCCCACACCTCGCCACTCATGGCAGCCGCCATGAGGCGATTGGGGGCGCCCTCCAGGGGCCCGGCCTTGTGCAGCAGGTCGACGGCGGTCAAGAGGACCAGCAGGCTGGACAGGCGGGAGTCGGCGCCCTGGGGAGGCAATCCCGGAACTCGGGACCCGTTTCCAGTCGGAAAAGAGCTCAAATCGATGGCAAAATTTTGGCCAATTGCACAGCTCAGTTATGTGAATGGATCGTGTTTAGCACTGAAAGTCGTGCGCTTGGCGTTGAACACACATTGGAGCAGATTAGAAAAGAACTCATCAACATGTTAATTGGGACCCAGTGGCGTGAGTCGAAACTGAGTCTTTGTAGGCGGTTGTGGAATGTATCGACAAGTGCTGCAACCGCACTGTGCAACCAGGCATCATAGCAACACTGCGCAGGCACAGCAGCTGATGATGAGCAGGTGGATGGGGGCAGCCAGCCAATTCTATCCACACAGTTCAAGACTGCTTGTGGGAAAGTGTCACAGTATATTGCGCTGCATCCACAAACATCGTGCAGCGCCTTGTGCGTGCATCTGCAGCTTACCACTGCCCTGTCTGCGAACAATGCAGCTGTGTCCATCTGGGCGATCGCCAGGACGATGGGCTTCTCCTGCGCCGTTGGCTCGGAGTCCGGCAATGCTGCAAGCACACTGTGCCCACCAATCGGCAGGCAGTGCTTCTGCTTGATGCAGTGGCTAGAGTTGTGCTCCCCTTCCATCTTGGCAGACATCTTGGCGACATGCACAGCACCTGTGAAGCCCTGGGGAATGGAAAGACAGTCACAATCGATGCGCAAGGGTGTCAGGGAGGCCAACCCACTTTAACTGTTGGTCGATTTTGCAGATTCGAAATAGTGAATAACACCAGCGGTTTCTGACAGTCTGGCAGGGATGGGAACAACATTCACCACATGCACACACAATCCGTTTCTATGAACAGCTCCTGACATCAACCCTGACAGGTAGCAGGGTAGTGTTTCACACTGTTTCTCTGACAAAGCGGACAGCCATGGGTTTGCCCAAGAGCAAGTGCATTGCATTGCGTTCATCACAGGTGGCGCTGCGAATGTGCTTGGGGTCACTCCGGTGAATGGCATCCAGTGATTTGCACATAATCTTGAGCTCTGATTGAGATATTGCACTGGAAGATGCCACACATTGGGCATGTCTCAAAGAGGGACTCATCCCAAGGACTACAGGTTGTACTGCATGGGTGCTGTACCCCAAAGAAGTACAAAAAATAGAAAACTAGATCCTTTGCACTGGCAAGCAACAAAGCAGACACCAACTTCCGATTTGAAGGACAAATGATCACGCAAGGCCTGCCAAAGCTCGCCCACAACTGTGTATAGTAATGTCAACATGGTGGTGCATGATTTTTGCTATCTTTGACAGGAAGTACGAGGTCCCCAGTTTGCCTCACAACAGCAGACACTCTTAGCAAAGGAATCAATGGATGTCATACCAGCATTGGCCAAGGTACACCTGTGTAGATCCTCAGTGGGCGCATCCATAAAACATGACCAGCAACTGCCCACATTACCAAGAAAATTACAGCAAGTTGCGAGGACACTTCTGACAATGTGACATTGCTGGAAGTGCAACAACTTGACGTGCCAGCTCTGTCCTATTTGTGACGGGACAGTGTGCTGTGAGGTCCAAACAATAGGAAATAGTGCCACTGAGATTCTGAGTTCAGACAATATATTCAAAGAAAAATGTCAAGAGAAAAAATGCCACTGTGTGGGTGACCCTTGAGCTGCACTCGCCTGCCTTGCATTGCGCTCTGCCCTGTCAATGGCATTCTCCGTGAGCTCCCTGGTCAGAAGGAATATTGGAATTTCAAAGCGCTGCAGTCTGAGGCCCGTGCCCCAGGGGTTCCAAATGTATGCATCTGAAGAAGGCTGAGGGAAGCCAGATGAGGGGAAGAGGGCCCCAGTGGAAAAGTTGTTTGGAGTCTGTCCTGCCAGCACACCACAGTGTTTCCCTTTTGCCAGTGCAGGTACCAAAGCCAGACAAGCAACAGTGTGGTTCCACCTTAACTGGTGCCTTGGGAGGGTCACAACCAAGCAGGACAAGTTCCAATGCATTTTTGGCCCAACTACATGCCACCCAATTCATCATTTGGAGCTTGCTGAGTACATATTTGCCACACGCCCTGTTGCGAAATGTCACTTGCTGTCTGCCCTGCCTGGCATCCTTTCACCCAGCCGAAGGGGGGGGGAGACTCATTGCATTCCTTATCTTTGACAATGTCTCTTTCCTGTTACAATGAGTCTTCCAATGGTAGCCAACAAGCAAAAGCAGCAGCGCTGCCGAAGTGCATCCATGTCTTTTCAAAAATCCCATCGACAACATCATTCAACCCACCTGTTTCAGCAATGAGCACACCCTTCACATGCTGCTTCAAGTTGTCATTATGCAGCACACCATCAAGCAGCCGTGGCACCAAGTCCAAGGGCACCAGAACCGTCCGGTCCTCTTTGCCAACATACAGGGAGACAAACAATCTCTTCAGGAGGAATTGCTGTAAACACAACTGCAACATTTCTACATATTTTATGGTAACCACCAGCAACTTTCTTTCCTCTGTTCCACTTAATAGAATGAAGGAAAGAACGAATCTTATTTAGATAATGGAATAGCGACTTTAGGGTTTGCAACATTTGCACCATGTGCACATGGCCACCTTTCCACAAGCTGTTGACAAAATAGCCCCAAGGAAGTTTGATGCAGCTGCAGTAACCAACAGCAACTAAAAAGCAGTATTTTGTTCCAATTGCCAACAGGTCGGACAGAATGCAACAAGCTCAGACTAACAAAATCTACAATAAAGTCTCAAAACAGCCTTGTCAGCACCATGACTTGAGCTGCAAGATGCAGTTCTTCGTGTGGGAATGGAATGAAAGATGTCCTTTCGCACAGGCACCATCCATACTGCAGGGGTGCGGGCCAGGCAAATCTAACCCAGATGCAGGTAAATCTAACTCATTTGTAAAAGAGTGGAACAAACATCAACTATTCAACAAAATATGACTGAACAACAACAAGGCGCCAAAAGGACTGCAGTTCCTGGCAGTGCCAGGGTGAATGAATGCATCTCTAGACAGAAAGGAGCAACCCAACTCAAGCGTTGCCGCTCACAGCGTGTTATCACACAAATGGAGTCATGCATCGAACAGAGTTCAAGGCATGGACTAGAACGCCGCTTTGGGCAAGGTGGCAACAAGACATAGTATGTAGTATACTGGAGTAGTACCTTTCAGGCAAGTTGGCAGCAAGCCTGTGTCTGGAGTAATTTGCACCTGCTCACCACCAAAGTGCTAGTCCACACTACTGAGCAATAAGGCTTGATACCACCATGCCCAAAGGGGTGTCTCAGGGGGCGTCAAGAGGTGTCTGCTGCCAAGGGTGTAGGAATGGGGTTCGTGCGATTGTGCAGCCACAGCCCATCTCAACAATTGAGCTCCATGGCAGATATCCGTGGATAATACCTTTTGACTGCAGTGACAACTCTTCAATGCACGAGCCTATTCAAAGCGCCCTTTGAGTCACACAGCAACTTGAGCCTTGCAATGAGTACCTATCAGGGAGTAGTCGATGCTAGTCATGTGGACAATCGGGGCAGACAACGTGCCATCTCCAGAAACTGCAAAGGAAACATACCAAATGCCAGCTTGAGGAACACAACACATCGCTGCAAACACCATGTGCGATGCAAACAATGATTGTAGAGGAACCAGTGGGAGTGTCTATGTTGTGTGGCCATTACTTCCAAAACAGCGAAGTTGAGATTATTTGCCAGATGGCACACACCAAAAGCAGCAGAACTGGTACAAACCAGTGTCAACATGAGCAGTGCCTACAATAGCTGAATGGGAAAACGGCATTGCGTTTGTCATTCTTCAATGCTATCAGTTTCGGATGCGCTCAGACAGCACATGCCTGGAGTCTGGAGAAAACTCAGCATCCAAGCTCTTTGTTAGTGCTGCAAGCTCCTTGTTGAAATCAATAAGCTTTGGGGTAGTTAGTGCACTTGGAAACCCAAACCAAACTGCTACAAACACCCAAAGAGTTGAAAGTATCAGCAAAGATCTTGCGTCCATAATACCACCACCAATGCTATTGTGGTGGCATAGTGTCGACATTGACAGTGATTGAGCACTATTCAGGGCAAATTCTTGGGTTGCAAAACACGCTCATAGAGTTATCATGCAAGTGGATTGGCAATGCAATCTCAATTCTGATAAAAACAAACAGACAAGATTGACACAGAACCAGACAGCAGCCCACAGGTCTTGTGAACATGTAAGCCAATCAGTCAAAGGACAATTTCTGCACAGTAAGGATCGATACAAAGCTACACCTATGATCATCGAGCCCATGAGATGTTCCCCATTTGTTCAAATACTCACGTTCAAGGTCATGAATGTCTTTTTGATTTTACAATGTTCCAAGGTTGCGAACATCTGAAGATTTTGTTGGCAAGCGAGAGAAGCACAACAATTTCCAAGGTTCATCCCTCTGACACCATTCCTCTGGCCAAGAACAACAGCAACAAGTTCTTGCAGCAACATCTTATAATCAAAACATGCAGCAAAGCAAATAACCAAAAATCTGCTGGCAACAGCAGGAAAAGGAGTTCAGAAGGCAGCAACTGGACTCTTAAAAGTGGCATAGAATTTGACACATAAGCTTCGAATAAAATTCTGGAATGCTAAAACAGCTCACACGGCTGCCACTCACTCACCCCCACAGCCCACTTCTCTATGAGCAGTCAGCCTCCTTACACATCCCCTTGATTCCGTCAGCTTTGTTGTCATCACATTCTCCAGGTCTTTCATGGACAGAATCTCATCCGCCCATCCTGACGACCACAATTTGAACTGCAGTTAGCACCACCACCACTTGAGGATGGTATCAAATCCTGAAGAGCCGACTCCCGCTCAAGCCACACCAGCATAGACCAGTGCTGCTCCTCCATGGTCTCGTTAGAATCGGAGACTTTCCTGACATGCTCACAGAATGGACAAGCGCCTCAAAACAGCCTGTACATAAGCATGGGGCTGGTAGGGGCTAGTGTGAAAGCGTGCTTTGCACGCCCCTGACCCCTCTTTCGACAAAAAGACAGCCTTGGGCGCATATGGGCGAGTGCTGGACCCAAACAACACTCACATGCTACCCATGTTGAGTCCGGTCACACCATTCTGAGCGGCTTCGCTCTCTCAATCAGGTGTCAGGCAGGGCCTGTCCAATTTGAGGGACAGCACGTACTCGCGCAACGCCCTGCAGCGCGCCCAGGCCGCGCCTTAATTCCGTCCCACATACCGCCTCCGCATCTCAGCCCTTCCTTGGGGGCGGTCCAGGCCCCAACCCACGACTGCCCGATGCTGGTGATGCCTACACCTACACCCACGCTTCCCGAGCTGCCAACATCCATGATCTCCCGGACAATGAACACACCGCTTTTCATCTTTGGTTTTGCCGCCCTTCCGCGCCGCTCGTTCACGACGCTTCCCAGGCCACTTCTGCGACCCAAGACAGCGAGGGGCACCGCATTCCCGCGGCCGGCTCCTCGAGGGATCCATCGACGCACGAATCAACGGAACCCAATCAGGCAGGGCGCACCTTTGGCGAGGAGCAGCGCCAGGAGGCACAGCAGCGCGCGGCCGTCCATCCCGCCTCCGCGCTGCCCGCGGCACAGGTCGCCTTGCAAGGCGTGACCAATTGGTCACGGCAGTCCCGATTGCGTATTCGTGTACTTCCTCCATCAGGGATCAATCGTCTTCTATTTTGACAGAAAAAAATCATCATGAGGACGGCCTCAAAATCACAAAAGCAGATCAAAATAGGAAGATTGAGTCTCAAAACCCCAGACTGACAGTTTTCATGAAGAAAAAGTGAGACACCACCCCTTCGAACATTGGGCGGATGGTAAATTTTGGTCACTTTTGACAGAAGAATTTGAGATGTGCCAGGTAAAAAGACCCTTGCTACAGAGTACTGCCAAATCCTCAACACCTGAGGAATTGACTTTACTTTTTGACCATATACTCTCAACTCATAGGCGCAGCTTTGAAAGAAGTTTCATTGAGCATCGAAGCTTCCAAGGTGGAGAAGTAGCCCGCCAAAGTCACAGAGGACTGTTAATTCCGGGCAGAGGAAGTATATGCCGATTCTTGTACCCCCCGGGACCCCCCAAAATATCCGATGAAACCCGCTTCCTCCAGTTTCTTAGGGTCCGTGCCCAGTTCGCTGCCCACCGAACTCCAGCATGGAGCACCACGCAGCCTCCAGGCACGACGCGGCCGTCGTCATACAGGTGGGGGGAACAGCGGTGGTTAGCCTAAGTTGGGGGGAGGAAGGGATTGGAAGATTCCAACGATCTCTGGCGACTACGCGGTGGGGGGCTGCCAACAAAGAATCGGTGGACGGACAACTCGCGGCTGGGGTTGGGAACAGAGGGACGTGGGAACCTGGTTGATGCGTGCCCCGCAAGCGCGATCGGAAACGAGCGGCCATGCAGAGGGATAAGACAACAACACGGCCAGGAGTTCCGTGCCGTTCTCTTGCCCTACTTGGCTTGCTGGCGCTGTTTCGAGGCTGGGATTGAAGGCCGCATTCTTGGTAGACGTGTTTCTCTACACTCACGTGCTGTGCGTCTCATTGTCTTGCTCTCCTTGGTCTGCATGGGTGAAATAGTGGCGCCGGCACCTCGTAAGCGCGTAATCAACACCTCAGCAGCGTGATCATGGCATGCGCTCGTGACACGCGTTGCCTCGCGACGGGGTGGACTTCCTGATTGCACGAGGTGCCCCAGGATTGAACCTCCAAGTTTGGAGGTCCGCGGAGCTAGGCCCCAGTCTTTGCTGCTGTCGTTGCTGACCAGTTCACACGGGGGGGTGGCAGGACAAATTGTTGTGCCGCTCCACTGTGTTGTGGTAAATCCCGAGTGCGCGTACGCCCTCCAAAATCTGGCCCTGATTGGGGTCCTCTCTGTCCAGCCAAGTCGTGGTGTTGTGTGTGGTGCGACTTGGACGATATGCACAGCAGGCCTGCCTGCAGCTTTGACAGCCTTGTGCAGAACAGAAGGGTTGCATTCCGCAAAGCTGGACATCGAATTCTGCTTTCGTATGGTTGTAAAAAGACGTAAAAGGAAAAGCCTTTCACCAATCCGGTGATGTCAGGCTGTAAACACATCGGAAGGTGGTTTCCTTGAATTTGCAAGGAGGGGTATGTCTTGTGCAGTTTAGGACAGGGCTTGTTTCTGAAAGGTCCCTCAGTTGCCACGAATCAAAGCGTTGATGCTGCTGCTTCCAATTTGGCTCTGACTGGAGGTAATGAGGCTTTGCACAGTGCTCCTTCCATCAAAAGTAGCCCATTCCAGCACAAAGGTGCTTTTGGTGAAGGCAATCCAAAGCGCCCACAGCTTCAACTATCCGTGTGCATGCACAGTGGCCTGCTTTGTGAGCAATGCTGTGCCTGAATCTGTCCAAACATAAGTGGTGCCCCGGCAGCAAACATGGCGATACTGGTGCGATGACCCCCTGGCTGTCTTTGACTTGGACAGTCACACTGCCGCTGCTACACAGCAAGGAAAAGGTTCAAGCGGAGGAAGGTGAGTCTTGGAGCAGTGGTTGAAATTCTTGGGTGAATTGCATTGGCAGTACATAGACTGGGGTCCATTGGGCTGCATTATTCAAGACAAGATGCAAGCACTCGGAGGAAGACATTTTCACAAGCACAGTTTCCAACCATTATTGCTCGAGAAGGTCAGCACACTTAACAAAAGGAGCCAAACCAATACAAGGTTCGCCTCTCCCAGCACGTCATCACACCTGGCTGCAGTCACACACCACATATTGCTCAAGCCAGTGCATAGAAGACAGGTCCAAATGTACTAGGGCTCACCAGTCACGTTTTCTGCAGGAGCTCGTGTCCCTTTCACTTTATCCAGGAATTTTAGACCCAGGAAATCGAAGCAACTAAGATGAGAAAATGCTCAAATCAATTCACGGAATTGAGTGAGGACCCTCCCAGGAAGCAGTCCTTGTAGAGACATGCTAGCTTGTGACTGTACATGCCCATAAGCCAAACAGTCAGCACTGCGCCTTTGAAAAATGGGGATGACAGGCATTTGCACTTCTGAACTACTTGTTGGCTCCTGTTCTGCCTGTAACTTCGTGGACCACATACTTTGTGGCATTGTGCTGGCATTATGAGTCACGTGTTGGGGATCGATCCTGTGATCAAATTTGTCAAAAAAGGTCAAAGAACTACCCTTGCACCAAAAAGGGGAAGGGTTGCTGGCTGGCTGGGTGTAGGGTAGGTGGCTAGGAGACAGAGCCATGCAAGATTTCCCCAAGAAATGAATCAAGACGTTGGAAATTGGATGTTCAAAGTGCACGTCGAACTGGAGGCACAATACGACCGGCTGTTCCAATTGACAAGCAAAGATCCTACAAATAACATGCAAATGAAAACGTCACCATGGTCCTTGGATGGCATGGTCGCTGCTTCCTCTGTGGTGCAAGCGCGCCATTGTTGTTGTCGATTCGATCATACACAAAAAAGATATCAGATCGACTTTTGGAAATGTAGGGTCAAGCCCCTGCATGTCCACCTCTCCATTTGCCATGCATTGAAACCCTTCAAAAATATCATAAAATATTGTCCAGAGATATCACTTATAAAAATCATAAACATCCAGTGCAGAAATCTCGTCCAGTTCTGGCCGCTTTAATGCTCGGTTTTCAGCATCATGGCATTGGCGAAAGCGCAGTTCTTCATGCTGTTCTCTCGAATGAAGATCACATACATGCAACAGCACCCTCAAGAGGTGCTTTCTTCTGTGATGTCTGCAAATCACAAAAGAACCACCTCTGGGCCTGCTCTGGGCCCAGAAGCCTCAGAATGGACCATCGTTAGCATTTGAGCCACATAAGCTCCATGGGCGCACAGCAGCACAAAGCAAGGCCACGCAAGCTCCAAGGGATGAGAATTGTTCCCTTGCATCTGGCTCGTGACTCTCCATGGTTCTCCGAGGTGTACACCCAGATTGGAAGCTGGGCGAGCTGCAAAAGCACAATACTTCAGCGGCACGGCTGGACTGTGTGTCGTATAGAATCCAGAACTTTCTATGAGCACCTTCAATGATCTTACTTTGTTCAGTGCACAACCTCGCCCATGTGGGATCGACGACTTCAACACAGGTAATCTTAAATGCAATAAGGTACACAACTGAAATTGTTGGCCTATTTTCATCGTTCGGTTGTAGGCGCAGCTGGTTATTGATTTGGCTTTAATCAGGATTGGGCAACACACCACACTCTAAGCTGTTCAAATCCTCCAGAGTCTGCTGAAAGCCACTGTCCCATGTCGTGCGGAACTTTGGGCCTACCTTTCCAGATTCCTTGTACCCACCTGAAGCAACAGAGATACCGGATTGCAAGGTGTACCGAGCCAGGTGTCGAGTATATTAATGTATTTCATGTATGAATATTTTCAGATATATGCTCATTGTTCAGCAGGCCACGAATAGCACGTGCCATTCTCCAGGTCGTGTCCCTTGGATGGCTCACGATAAGAACCTTCCGTGAGCTGTCATATGGTGCGGGCTGCCGCGATGCATGCTCGAATGAATCCCTTCGCCATGCAATGTTATGAGCGAGACTAAGAAAAAAAATTTCTACACATGGTGTTGCGACAAAGATGCGCATGTCGCCGTCCGTGCTATACCCGCAATACATGACCCATCAGAATGCACAATGGCCGCGTCCAGGGCTGCCAATGTGTCGCCCTCCCAACCCCAAGATGTCAAAAGACAAGTCCGAGGAACAGCACCACACAGTACATTTTCGAGTGTGCAACCCAATAGGCGGCAGAAACATACACAGAACACCGTCCCATCAGGAGCCCAATAGATCAAATGGAACAAATAAACTGCACAACCAGACGGAATGTACTGCGCTGCTTCCAGTGGTCTCAAGGAAATTTGGGCATGAGTGATTACAATGCGCCGTCAATGGCCCACTGGCCTTGCAGGTGCACATTTTGGAAGTTCCAGCTGATGTGGCCTCCGTCTCCCGATCTGCAGTTCCAACGACGGCAAATTTGCCCGCCGTGCAGGTTCAACCTCTCGAGCATATGCTGCTAAGTGGAGACAGTGTTGTACAGCCCCCCACAACACGACCAAAATGCTCTTAAACGTGTCCTTGATGGAGCTTGGTCGGATGGCTCAGTTAGAAGCTGAGGAAACATCGACCGTGTTTTCGTCATAAAATGCATCACTGCAGCCACGGCGGTGCACTACGAGAGCATGGGGACGCTCCTGACCCAATCACGTTGCCATACCATCCAAAATTTGCAAGCAAGTCTTGTCCTGACGTTCGGCCATGTCCGCAGCTGCAGTTTGATCTGCTCCATCGCCCAAGTCGGACATTTGAATTGTCGTTGATCCTCGCTGTGAGTCTCAGCTCTGCCATTGGATTTACACTGTCTTCCACGCCAGTCTGCGCCTATCTACGCCTTTTGGCGGCAATGCCAGCAGCGGTGCCTGCTCACAGCGCAAATGCTTCATGCTCATCGACCGGCTCCCCACAGACGGCACATGCGAATCGCCAAATCTGGCGCCTTCATTCTCAGCACAAGATTCGACATTAAGTCTTGCCTTCACCA